GGATCATGTGTTTCCCTATTGAAAACCCTGCAGTGTCCCCTGCCCACAGAATGACAGAGCTCCGCAGCCGGCTCCTCAGCCCAGGGCCCAGATGCACCTCTTCTTTTACCCCATGATCCTGTTAGGACAAATCATGATCCAGCCAACCCTGGAATCTTGCTAATTCTTGGTCCCAGGCCTCTGTATATGGTTTTCTTTTCTTTTTTTAAAATATATTTTATTGATTTTTTTTTACAGAGAGGAAGGGAGAGAGATAGAGAGTTAGAAACATCGATCAGCTGCCTCCTGCACACCTCCTACTGGGGATGTGCCCGCAACCAAGGTACATGCCCTTGACCGGAATCGAACCTGGGACCCTTCAGTCCGAAGGCCGACGCTCTATCCACTGAGCCAAACCAGCTAGGGCTGTATATGGTTTTCCATCAGCCTGGAACCACCCCCCTTCCCACTCTCCTCCCCACTCCCCCCTGCATTCACTTTGTGAAGCTGCTCATCCTTTAGGTTTGCCTGCTGGTGTATCTCGAATAGGTAGCCCTAGACCCAGCCAACAGTTGGAGCTGAATAAATACTGCAGAGGAATGAACACGTCCCGTCCCTCTACAACCACAACCTGCAGGAAGGTGGGAAAAGGAGGCACTAGCTTGCCAAGGAGGATTTAAGAACGCTCCTGGGGCCCTAGCTGGTTTGGCTCAGTGGCTAGAGCGTTGGCCTGCGAATCGAAGCATTCCGGGTTTGATTCTGGTCAAGGGCACATACCTCGATTGCAGGCTCCTCCCCCTCAAGGCCCTGGTCCGGGTGCGTGCAGGAGGCAACCAATTGATGTGTTTCTCTCACATTGATATTTCTCTCTGTCTTTCTCTCTTCCACTATCTCTAAAAAGCAATGGGAAAATATCCTCGGGGGAGGGTTTTAAAAAAAGAACACTCCTGGGAGGACAGGGAGGCTGTGCTTCTCCCAACCTGTGGTCAAAGGCTAGCGGGCACTTCAAAGGCACCTGCCATGGGGTGAAGAGAGGAAGGGACAGAAAACTGACAGGAAGGAGTTCATCACATTTATTGATTGATAATAAATTGGGGCCAGCTGCACCGGAATGCTCCCTGCCTGGGCTCTGCGAAGAGGGGCAGTGGTGATCTTTCTGGTTGGTGCCAGGAGGGAGCCAGCCCTGGGCCTGGTGCCCAGGACCACTGAGGCGTGCTGTCCAGCTGGATCGCCTTGGTGGGCAGCATCAGCCAGGGCCAGGGATCAGTCCCAGGGTCCTGCTCCCTCATTCTGTCAGCCTGGGCCTCAGGCGCAGAACCTCAGAGCCTGCAGCCTGCCCACATGCCCAGCCACATGGGACAGAATCACCCGAGTGAGGGGAGGATGGAGGAGCTCTTGGCATGATGCTAGGGAGGAGGACGTGAACATGGGCCAGGATTTGACCAGGGGTGACAGATGGGGAAGCAGGGCCAGCGGAGAGCTTACAGGCTCAGATGATGTTGCGCTCTTCGACCTTCTCTCCCAAGTAAAAGCGGCTGAAGAGGAGGGAGCTCAGGTTGATGGTCTGGAACTGGCCCTCTAGCACCAGCTCGGCCACAGCTCGCCCCACGGCGGGGGCCTGCTGGAGCCCATGGCCACTGAAGCCCGTGGCAAAGTACATGTTGACGACCAGGGGGTGGGGGCCCACCACGCCGTTCTGGTCAAAGGTGTTGTAGTCGTAATAGCCGGCCCAAGCGCTCCGAACCTGCAGGTGCATGAGATGCTGGGGTTCTCTGGAAGGCCACCAGGGCAGCCACCCCCCTCCTGGTCAGGCCTCAGCACCCTCCACCACTGCCGAAGGGGTTGACAGCATGGGTCCTTAGACCCGCAGAGTCCTTAGCAGTTGTGAGGTAGACAGATGGGCCCAAGATGCTCCAATGTCATGTCTCCTAGTTACCTTCAGGCTCTGAAAAGCTGGTACTCTGTGGGCCAAATGGGGCCACACCTTGTCCTGGAAGAAATCATGGTCCACTTCCAGATTCCCCGGGTCCGGTTCCTCCTCCTGGGGTGAGAGGTGGGGATACAAAAACAGAGCCAGAGCTCACTGACCTCTTTAGTCAACCCCCTAGGTGGGTGGGGGATGGGGACGAGAGATCCCAATTGAAACCTGAAAGTGCTGCCACATCAGTAACAGCACTGGCCCTCCCCAGAGCCTGAAACTTTATTTATTTATTTTTTTAATAATTATTTTTTAATATATTTTATTGATTTTTTACAGAGAGGAAGGGAGAGGGATAGAGAGTTAGAAACATCGATGAGAGAGAAACATCGATCAGCTGCCTCCTGCACACTCCTTACTGGGGATGTGCCCGCAACCAAGGTACATGCCCTCGACTGGAATCGAACCTGGGACCCTTGTCCGTAGGCTGACGCACTGTCCACTGAGCCAAACCGGTTAGGGCAGAGCCTGACACTTTAACGACTACTGGGCTGTCCCCTCCCAAGCCCCGACCCCATTTAGCTCACCTCGGTGGGGCTGCAGCCACCCAAGTAGTTGTGGCCTAATCCTTCCCGGCGGAAATAGGCTCCACTGGTGTCTGCCATGAACGGAGTCTCCAGGCCTGGTCCCTCGGGGCAGTGCCAGAAGTACACGTACCTGCCATAACCAGGTGGGTTCAGAAGTGGCGGGAATAGCAACTCTTCCCTCCTCCCACTGAACAACCGTTTTTTCTTTTTTTAAAATTTATTTTTATTGATTTCAGAGAGGGAGGGGGAGGGAAAGAGATGGAAACATCAATGAGAGAATCATTGACAGGCTGCTTCCTGCACACAACACCCTGGGGATCGAACCCGAAACCCGGGCATGTGCCCTGACCAGGAATCAAATCGTGACCTCCTGGTTCATAGGTTGACGCTCAACCACTGAACCACACCGGCCGGCTTAACAACCTTTTATATTGTTTCTCTCCTCCTCTCACCAACCTCCTCAGCTGCCCCGGGGGAAGTCACCTTTTCCTCGGCTCCACAGGTAGCTTGGTGCCCTCCAGGGTGCCAGGTGGCCCCTTCCCAATACCAGCCAGCTCTGCTACTTGCCCAGACCAGGCCCCGGCGGCATTGATCACGAGGGCACATTCCACAGGCTGGTATTCCAGGCTGTGGTCCATCTTCACCTGCAGGCACAGAGGGGGAGGGAGGCAGGGCCTGGCCCATACGCTGGCCACCATGAGAGGAACCTTTCTTCCTGGAAGTGGGTAGAAGTTCCAAGTGACAGCCGTTACCGTTCTCCTCCCTCCCTCCCTCCGCGCTGGTGAGGAAGTTACGCAGGCTGGGAACTTACATGGACTTCATGGATCCTCTTCAAAGTCATCTCTTTCCCACTGCTGGTCTGCATGCGGCTAGATGACATGCTGAAACCTGCCGGAGAAAGAAAATGAAACAAGCCCTCGAGGCCTTGGAGAGGAAGGAGAGGGGGGTCCCGGTGTCCTAGGGAAAGGAACTGGAAGGCTGGACGCTTTCCCAGACCCTGCAGCCAACAGGGTAACGGGGATGAACCTGCCCGAACTCAGGGCAGGAGAGCACTGAAACCTTCTAGCCCAGTGATGGCAAACCTATGACACGCGTGTCAGAGGTGACACGCGAACTCATTTTTTTGGTTGATTTTTCTTTGTTAAATGGCATTTAAATATATAAAATGAATATCAAAAATATAAGCCTTTGTTTTACTGTGGTTGCAAAGATCAAAAAATTTCTATATGTGACACGGCACCAGAGTTAAGTTAGGGTTTTTCAAAATGCTGACACGCTGAGCTCAAAAGGTTCGCCATCACTGTTCTAGCCAATCACGAGGCGGAAGCAGCCTAGTCAGCAGCTGGAGTCAGGATGCCCAGGACCGGCCCTCAGGGGAGAAGCCCCTTCCCCCACCAACCCTTGTGAGTGAAGATAAGACACGGTCTAGGCCTGCGCCCTGGATGGCAAAGGCTATGAGCAGTGGGCAAGGGGGGCAGACTCACGTGTCACCTCTCCCTGGCAGAAAAGGACCCCCAGGGACTGGATCTTTCGCCGAAGCCCCTGGAGCAGACACCAGGGGTCAAACCAACCTTCACCCTCCAACCCTGTGAGGGAAAAAGAGGAGGATGAAGAGGGTCGAGAGCCCTCCTCTCCTTTTGTTTCCCGCACCCCCAACTCTTCTTTGGGCTGGTACGCTGGGGAAAGTCAAGCTGACCGACCGCACCGAGTCAAATCCTGCGGAAGAACAGAGCTGGCATGGCCTGGGGGTGGGGGCTGCTGGCCAGAGGGAGGCGCTGCTCAGTGACGTGGCTGCAGGGTGCTGAGGCTTCCCACCCGAGGTGCCCGCAGCCCTCTGCCCTCTGCGCGCACGCCTCACCGTAAGACGCCAAGGCCACTCCGTCCGTGTTAATCCAGGGAAACTTGTTCTGCAGCTGCTCCGGGGACATCAGACACACTTTGGCTCCTTCCTGCCTGAGAGAAACACGTGTGTCTGTGTGTATGTTAGTGAGGATGAGCGTGCAGAGGGAGCAGTACGGACCCAGCTCCACAAGTGGGGATCCGACCTCATTTATGCCCCTTCTCTGTCCTTGCTGAATGGATGGGGGACAAGCCTCCTCGGCTCTCCAGCATCTGACCCCTTCTTCCTTTCCTACACCCTAGTGTCCGTTGGCTGCACAGCCTGAATCCCTTGCCGTCCTTTCACAACAGGGTGAGTCGCTGTTCCCTCCGCTCTACCTGGGACAGCCTCCTGCCCACCTCCTGGGACAATCGCACCCACTAGCACAGCCACCTCCTCTGGGATTCTGTTCCTTGAGCACCCAAAGGCTGCAACACGGTGCTCAAAGAACACACCCCTAAACCAGAATGCCTGGTTTCACTCCCAGCCACCACTTCGATTTCCCCACATGTAAAATTGAGTTATTATCTGTGAAGCAGTTAGGACATTACCTGATGTCACGTGTGAGACTTGGAGACCTGTGACTTGGAGACCTGTCTGTTGGCGATTCCTGCTCTTGACTGACCATGGTGATCACGGAGGGCAGGGCTGCCATATCCGGCCTGCAGCCTATTTCTGTACATGAGCCATACTCATGCTTTTTTTTTTAGCGCTGCTTTTGTGCTTCGATTGCAAGTTTAGTGATTGCAATAGAGACTGTATGGCCTGCAAAGCCTAAAATGCTTACTATCTGGCTCTTACAGGAAATGCCTGCAGATTTATCAGGTCTGGGGCGTGTCCTAGGTGGTTCTTATCTGGCAATGCAGGGCCCACCAGCAGCACTTTGTCTATATCACAGCCCGAGCACAGGGCCTTGAAGTTCTGCATGTGCCTGCCTTTCCCGACTAAGTTCCCAAGGGGCAGGGACCTGTCTCATCAGCTCCGTCGTCCCAGCCTGGATTTGGCTTAGGGCTTACTGCCTGCACGTGGCTGGGAGGCGACTCCGAGGCCGTGCCCGGCACCCACCTCTGCACTTTCACGTTGCTCTCCATGATTGCAGCGCCCTTTTCTGAGGCCAGCAAAAGGTACCCTGAGGGGTTGAACTGGACGTCCAGGGGAGGGTCATCGACTACCGCCAGGTACTCCTATGTGCAAAGAAAGCTCCTCAGAGAAGCTGGTTTAGAGAAGGGATGGGGAGCGCTCCTGGCTCCTCACTTACAACCTCGGGGCTCAGGGCCCTCACCCAGATATAAGCCTCCTCTAGGCACCACACTGGGAAGAAAACCAGGGCTCCGATTCCTACTTGCCCGACTGCTCCTGCTTCTTGTTTTCCCTCCTCTCTCTGGGCTAAAGGAGGGGACACCACCCCAACCCCCAAATCTCACTGCACGTACATTGATGTTCCGTAGAAAGTCCACTGAAAAGAGGGAGAGCTGGATGTTCTCAGGCAGCGAGAACTGCTGGCGGATCCCGCCCACGGAAAGCCCGGTCGAGGCCTGGGAATACTGCGGGAAGACAAGGAAGGCTGAGGTGGACAGCACCCTGCTACACAGGAGCAGAGACTGTCATGGGTTCTGTGAGCCGTGAACCCTGAGTTAAAGGGGAGTTCTTCTTGCAGGTTTAGGATCTAGGGGGAACTGCATGGATAAACCCAGCAGCCCAGAGAGGACAATGGTTATAAAAGTCCTCATTAGCAGATGTGCACAGCAAACAGAGTCAGTCATCAACAAAGGGACAGGCAAAATGTTAATGGCCCAGAAGTCCAAGGACAGGACTTTTGATCTTCTAATTGGAAAATAGAGGGATATGGCCAAAGTAGCAAGATTCGTGGCTGGGCCCTGGCTGGGTTGGCTCAGTGGATAGAGCGCTGGCCTGCGGACTGAGAGGTCCCGGGTTCGATTCCAATCAAGGGCACATGCCCAGGTTGCGGGCTCAACCCCCAGTGGGGGGTGAGCAGGAGGCAGCCGATCAGTGATTCTCTCTCATTGATGTTTCTCTCTCCCTTCCTCTCTGAAATCAATACAAATATATTTAAAAAAAAAAAGATTCGTGGCTGGCTGGCAGTGGTAACAGGAACAGCTAAGTGTAAAACCTGAGGCGTGATGGAACCTAAAAAGGGGGCTGAGATAGCTGTTTGTATTAATTATAACTTGAATGCAGGCTCTCTTGGCCAGACCTGTGAGATCTCAAAGGATGCAACACCGAAATGTGCTTTCAAAGGCAAAAACCTATTGCCAAGGCCCCTAGTTTGAAGGAGGAGGAACCTGGGACTAATTCTCCACAAGGTCCAAAGCTCAGTCCCCGCCCTGCAGACTCCCGAGAGTCCTTAGTAAAATCCGAGTCCAAGCCCCACTCCTGACTCTGCCCTACCCCAGACCTCACCGTGTGGTCCCGATCCACCACCAGCACCTTGATGGCACCTCGGGGCTTCTCCAACCTCTTCAGCCAATAGGCCACGGACAGGCCAAGCACCCCACCCCCCACAATCACGACATCCGAGTGTTCAGGGGGCAGGTGGCTGGTGTCATACAGTGGATCCCAGGGCCCTCCAGGAAGAGCTGACTGGATCTTCTTCTTAATTTCAGACACCTTTTCAGTCCAGTCTGTGGGATGCAGTTATGGTCAAAGAGAGCCATTCATTTCCTTTGCAGGTGGTAGGGGGTTGGGAGATGGGCACAGGAAAAGGTGGGCTAACTTGACACTGAGTTGGCAGTCCCCACTGTCGGCCCCTCCCATAAGGTCCACGTGCAGCCAGCAGTATTCCGCAGCTTTGCTATAGGTTCTGCATGCCATCAGCCTCTCTTCCTTTTCATGCATCATGCCCTGCTCAAGATTCCACCTCCTAAGATTAACAGTCTAGACCAGGGGTGGGCAAACTTTTTGACTCAAGGGCCACAATGGGTTCTTAAACTGGACCGGAGGGCCGAAACAAAAGCATGGATGGAGTGTTTGTGTGAACTAATATAAATTCAAAGTAAACATCATTGCATAAAAGGGTACGGTTTTTTTTTTTTTTTAGTTTTATTCATTTCAAACGGGCCGGATCCGGCCCGCGGGCCGTAGTTTGCCCACGGCTGGTCTATACTCTCTCCCTAGGATAGGTGACTTACACATATATGTCTCCTGTGCACACCTATCTTTCTGATGAGCCTGAGGCTCATATACTCAACTGCATTATCATCACCACTTGGATGTCCCAGGCTCCCGGACCAAGAGGTCCCCGCACACTCCAAGCTGCAACCACTGAAGCATGGCACCTCTGAGTGGCACCTTACCCTGCATATCCGTCACCACCAGCAGACTTACATTCATGTCCTATATGTTACAAAGTTCCGATGACTCTGCCTCCGAAACATCTCCCCAATCTGTCCCCTTTTTTTTCTATCTCTGCCAGCACTGCCCTAGACTGAACCACCACCACCTCTCACCTAGACTAATGCAAAAGCCTCCTAACTGTTCCCACGAATTCCCCTCTTGTCACCCTCCCCCAGTTCTTTTCTACATCGTAGCCTGACTGACCTTGTCTGAACACTAATTTAATCACACACCCTCTTGCTTAAAACCCTCCAATGGCTTTCCATTGCTCTAAGGATAAAAGTCCAGAATCCATAAACGTTCCCAGGGAGACAACGCACAATCTGGCTCCTGCTCGCCTCGTCCTTCTCCTCTCCCTGCACTCCCAGCCCGTTTCCTTGATGACACCTTACTTCCTCCCATCACAGGGAACCTACACAAGTGCTCTCTCTCTTTTGAAACTCTGCTCCCCTTAGGTCTCAGCTCAGTTAACATCTTCTCAGGGAAGCCTTTTCTGACCCCCTAGACCAGCGGTCGCCAACAAGTGGTCCATGAGGTCCGAAAGGTTGGCGACCGCTGCCCTAGACTATGTTGAATTCTCCCGCCACATTATCTCACAGCCCTGTGAACCTCTTTTGCAGCACGCAACACATTTGCAACTTTGAGTTTATTAGTGATAGCTTCATACTGTGCTATGTGTACCTTCTTCACCACCCAATCTCCAGCCTAGCAGAGTACCTGGCACATCCTAAGTGCTCAATAAATATCTTGAGTAAATGAATCCTTTGTCATGAACACCTAACCCACAAATCTCCAAGTCTTCTCACTGTTTCCAATACAACGTTCAGCAGCATTAGAATCTTTCTTTGATCTGGGCTTCCCTTCCCACACATTCCCTATTACTACTCAAACTATTTAGATGGCTTTGGCTAGTTCCTTGCAAGGGAACAATGCTTTTCTCCTCCTAACCTGTGCCCAGTTTTCCAGCACCTGGAACACACACCTTCCCAGAACCAGTAACCATCCTTCAGGGCTGATCTCGGTAGCCACCTGCTCCATGTAGGTCTACCATGACACTAGCTGGAGCCGACCCAGTCTTGGTCTAGAACAGTGGTTCTCAACCTTCCTAATGCCGTGACCCATTAATACGGTTCCTCATGTTGTGGTGACCCCCAACCATAAAATTATTTTCGTTGCTACTTCATAACTGTAATGTTGCTACTGTTATGAATCGTAATGTAAATATCTGATATGCAGGATGTATTTTCATTGTTACAAAATGAACATAATTAAAGCATAGTGATTAATCACAAAAACAATATGTAATTATATATGTGTTCTCCGATGGTCTTAGGCGACCCCTGTGAAAGGGTCGTTCGACCACCAAAGGGGTCGCGACCCACAGGTTGAGAACCGCTGGTCTAGAAAGTCTCCCCTCTCCGGCTGCACTTCAGGCACCCCCAGGACACATATAGTGAATCCTTTCTTCTTCTTCCCTCTTGCACGGGCCGCAGCACTGAGCACGGCATGCAGCACACGCGCAGGACTTGGTGCACATTCGTGCAGCCGGTGGCTCAGCCTGGTCTATGCTGGTGTTGAGCTGAGGTCTACGATCTGTCACCCGAGAAGGGCAACCCGGGGACCCGTACGCCTGTCCTGGCCTCACAAGCTCCATGGGGCAAGCTTAGCCCCTTCTCACAGCTGACCCACTGTCTTCCCAGCCTGAGCCGGGGTCCCAAGTCCTGAAGGTCGCACAGCCGGAGACTGGGGGTACCCCGGAACCACGACACCCTCCGGTGTCCTCAACTTTACCCGGAGTCGAGCCTCCACTGCGTGTGCTTAGCCCCCGGCCCACACAGCCTCGACCTGCCAAGAGCCATAGCACCCCTCGAAACATGGTCCTTGAGAGCGCGGCCACTGAGCGCGACCCTTAAACCTGGCACCGCCCCCAAAACGTCATTGCTCCGCGCCGCCGACCATTCAGACGAGCTCACCCATTGGCCAGCGGCCCCCTTGGGCCCCGCCTCCCCGCGCTATAGGCCTCCCGTCTCCTCGTGACCTCCCAAGAGCCCCGCCCAGCCCCGCCACGGGCCAGCTGCTACGTCATCGCTGCGCGCCGTCCAGCGCGGGCGGGTGGGGATCCCCGAGCTCTGAGCGGAAGTGCGGCCGAGCTGGTTTCCGGGGCCGCTGGTGTGACGTGTCCCGCGCTTGGCGCAGCAGGAAGTCGGGGCGATCGTGGCCTCAGCTCCCGGCGCCGGCCGGGCTCCTTTCCCGCTGCCGCCATGCTCGACTTCTTCACCATTTTCTCGAAGGGCGGGCTCGTGCTCTGGTGCTTCCAGGGCGTGAGCGACTCCTGCACCGGGCCCGTCAACGCGTTGATTCGCTCCGTGCTGCTGCAGGTACCGTCCCCGCGGGGTCAGGACTCCGGGTTCGTTCCCCCCACCACCCCCCGATCCGACCCATAGTCTCCCTCGACCGGCCCCGCGCCTCGCTCCCGCCCTGTCCGCCCCGGGACTGGCCGCTCGCCGGTAGCCCGGGCTCCGCTTCTTTCTCCCGCCCGCGGCGGACCGTCCTGCAACTTTGCGGCGCCCCCTCCCCCTGCGCTTTCGGCGACCCCAGCTGGATTAGGCGCCTCTTCAGACTAACCATCGTTCCCTCCGTTCGCTCCTGGCTGCTTGGTTTTCTCTTGTTCCGAAGGATGGGTGAGATGAGGGATGGAAAGACACCTTTAAATCTGTAGACAGTGTACAGCTGCTAGTAGACCTGTTTCTATGACGACTACTTCCCTCGGGCTCCCAGGTGTCGTGTCACTCTCTCACTCTCCCCCCCACCCCACGGTACCTCCTTTTCTCCCCGGGGGGATGTCACAGGCGGTGCCCCAGCATCCTCGTGTCCTGGGACAGGTCTGACTTGGGGGGAATGTCCGGTTCTTTCCCAAAGGTGGTCGTTGAGGGGCCCAAGACTGGGTTTTCTGGGGAATAGTCTGAACTCGGAGACATCCTCTCTTTCCAGGAAAGGGGCGGCAACAACTCCTTCACCCATGAAGCCCTCACGCTCAAGTATAAACTGGACAACCAGTTTGAGCTGGTGTTTGTGGTGAGTGGTGGTATCTTGGAGGGACCAGTGCATTCTCAGCAGAGTCCTGACTATCGAGAGAAGGGAACCCCGGTTCACAGCAGATGGTGTTATATGAGAAGACCGAGAGGGAGCGGGGGAAGGGAAGAGACTGTGGGGCTCAGTCCGAGAGCTTGGCTGCCCCTCGGGTCAGGGACACCTGCCAGGCGGCTTAGCCAATCTGGAGGCCCGGGCTGGCTTGGCTTCCCTCCGCTCCGGGATGGCATGTAAGCGGATCTGTTGGCTCTGTTTCTTCCCCGAAACAGGTTGGTTTTCAGAAGATCCTAACGCTGACATATGTCGACAAGTTGATAGATGACGTGCACCGGCTCTTTCGCGACAAGTACCGCACGGAGATCCAACAGCAAAGCGCTCTAAGTCTGTTGAATGGCACTTTTGATTTCCAGAATGACTTTCTGCGGCTCCTCCGGTGAGAGGCCTCCCCTCCCCAGAATCGATTTCCGTGGCGTGCGGAGCTCCCTCCCTTCCCGAGGCCCGATCAGGGGTAGCCAAGTGTTCATTGAAAGATGCTTCCGAATGTGCTGCCCCGTCCTCAATGAGCCTCTCGGTGTGAGGGCCCTTTCTCTGGACTTGAGCCATTCTCTCTCGCTTTAGTGAAGCGGAGGAGAGCAGTAAGGTCCGGGCTCCAACCACCATGAAGAAATTTGAAGATTCTGAAAAGGCCAAGAAGCCTGTGAGATCCATGATTGAGACCCGGGGTGAAAAGCCCAAGGAAAAAGCAAAGAATAAAAAAAACAAGGGGGCCAAGAAGGAAGGTTGGTGTGAGCTCCTTGGACATAAGGGGCATGAAAAGTTAATGAAGTGGTCCCCTGTCCTCTGTCATTGCTTGTCTCCCTCACTCTAATGCCCCCCACCCTCGCTGTCATTCCCTGTCCTTGTGAGCCCCAAAATGTTTGCTTAGTTTCTTCTATAAGGAAATTCCCCCCTATTGTCTATTTTGTTGGAATCTGGTCCTTTTTCTCCAGTGAGTTTTCTCCTAACAGGTTTTGATGTCCCCTTGACTGCCAGCAAAACAGCCCCTGCAGAAAAGTCAGTGGGGGCTGACAATGGGGTAGAACTTTCCAAAGAGGAGCTGATCCGGAGGAAGCGAGAGGAGTTCATTCAGAAACATGGGAAGGCTGCAGACAAGTCCAGGTGAGCATTCTAACCTTTGCCATAATCTAGCCGTGTTGGGGGCAAGGGTGTTTTTGTCTCTGGATTTTGGGGGGATGTTTCCTCCCCTGCTTCTCCACCATAACCCTGTGCCATAACCCTTTCAGCAAGTCCACGAAGTCAGATGCTCCAAAGGAGAAGGGCAAAAAGGCGCCTCGGGTGTGGGCGCTGGGTGGCTGTGCTAACAAGGAAGACCTGGATTATAGCGCTCCTACCACCAATGGGGCCCCAGAGGTTGCTCCGCCTGAGGACATCAACTTGGTGAGAGCCAACAGGTTCCTGAGTGAAGGTTACCATTTAACGGAATGGGAGGGCCCGGCCGGTGTGGCTCAGAGGTTGAGCGTTGACCCATGTACCTAGAGGTCGCTGGTTTGATTCCCAGTCAGGGCATGTGCCCGGGTTGTAGGCTCGATCCCCAGTAGGGGGTGTGCAGGAGGCAGCCGATCGATGATGTTTTTCACTCATTGATGTTTCCATTTTTCTATCCCTCTCTCTTCCTCTAAGATAAGTAAATCGGAAGTAGAGAGGAGGGGGTGGTACCTTGGATTTCTTTGAGTGAGGGGGTAAGTCTCTTCCCAAATCCAAGAGACTGAGCAGTGTAGACAGGGTGAATCCTGTGCTTTTCCCCTTCAGAACCTTTAGACTTTCTAATCCTCTCTCCTTCCTTTCCCCAAACCCTGCAGATTCGAGGGACTGGGCCTGGGGGGCAGCTTCAGGATCTGGACTGCAGCAGCTCCGATGATGAAGGGGCTGCTCAGAACCCTACCAAACCTAGGTAGGGAATTTCAGGGGGTGCAGGGTGTGTGTGGCTCCACAGCGGATGCGGCTTGACTTCTGCCCACTGGCTTTATGTGTATCCGTATCTCCTGTGCCTGCAGTGCTGCCAAGGGGACTCTGGGTGGCATGTTTGGGATGCTGAAGGGCCTTGTGGGTTCCAAGAGCTTGAGTCGTGAAGACATGGAATCTGTGCTGGACAAGATGCGTGATCATCTCATTGGTAAGTTCTAGGAACGGGTGGGCTTGTGTTTATGGGGTAGGGATGGTGGAGGGTAGAACCATCTAGTTCAGTGATGGTGAACCTTTTGAGCTCAGCGTGTCAGCATTTTGAAAAACCCTAACTTAACTCTGGTGCCATGTCACATATAGAAATTTTTTGATATTTGCAACCATAGTATAAAAGTTATATTTTTGATATTTATTTTATATATTTAAATGCCATTTAACAAAGAAAAATCAACCAAAAAAATGAGTTTGCGTGTCACCTCTGACATGCATGTCATAGGTTCGCCATCACTGATCTAGTTTCCTACTGTACCGTAAGAGTTGGTGACCTGACTTGGCACTCACACCGTTCCCCTCTCCTCAGCTAAGAATGTAGCAGCAGACATTGCAGTCCAACTCTGTGAATCCGTGGCCAACAAGTTGGAAGGGAAGGTGATGGGGACATTCAGCAGTAAGTATCGGCCTCAACCAGTGTGCGCAGGGCATTATGCATACCAGTGCGTTGGCCTCTGTGACTTTTGGCAAATCTCTGAAGCTCTAAACCTCTATTACATGACTTAGACTTTAAGAGTTACTAAGAGGTTTAAATGAGTTAATACTTGGGAAGTGTTTATTCGGACAGTAGCAAATGTGTGGCTTCCTGGGGCAGGATCCAGGTAGCATCCAGATCCTAGTTCCCTTAGCGCAGAAAGGTGTTGGGCAATCGTGGAGTACATCCTTGGGATTCATGGGTGCGCCGCCTCCTCCCTTTCAGCGGTGACTTCCACAGTAAAGCAAGCTCTGCAGGAGTCCCTGGTACAGATCCTGCAGCCACAGCGTCGTGTGGACATGCTCCGGGACATCATGGATGCCCAGCGTCATCAGCGCCCTTATGTGGTCACCTTCTGTGGGGTTAACGGAGTGGGGAAGTCCACCAATCTTGCCAAGGTCAGTGCAGTGCCCATCTGTCTGACCTTTCTTCACTATCTCAGCAGTTGTGGCTCTAGGTGACGGTCTCCTTTGCCTCCTGCAGATTTCCTTCTGGCTGCTAGAGAATGGCTTCAGCGTCCTCATCGCCGCCTGTGACACATTTCGTGCCGGGGCTGTGGAGCAGCTGCGCACACACACACGCCGCCTGAGTGCCCTACACCCCCCGGAGAGTCACGGTGGCCGCACCATGGTGCAGTTGTTTGAGAAGGGCTACGGCAAAGATGCTGCCGGCATCGCCATGGAAGCTATTGCCTTTGGTACGGTGCACAGTGTGTGGGAGCTGGTCTGGGCCCCTTTCCTTGGGCTCCCTTAAAATACCCTGAGGATCACCCGACTACCAACTTATGCTCAGTAACAAGTCAGGGCTTGTGACTTGCTCCACTTTGGGTAATGGGTGTAGTTGCAACCGAAGCTGGTATGGCCCAACTGAAGAAACCTCTAATTGGTCACCTTTGTGGCACTGCCATCCTTTTCCTGACTGCGCGGAGGGCCAAGTATAGATTTCTCACTACCTTGTAACCAGATCCAGAGCCCAAGAAAGGAAACAGACCTTTCACATAGCCAGGCTAGGACTTCCTGAGAGGACGCTGGAAATAAGTTGACAACCCAGGAGTTCTGAGCTGACCGCTTTTCTCTCTGTAGCACGGAACCAAGGCTTTGACGTCGTGCTGGTGGACACAGCTGGTCGCATGCAAGACAATGCCCCTCTGATGACTGCCCTAGCCAAGCTCATTACTGTCAACACCCCTGACTTGGTGCTGTTTGTGGGCGAGGCCTTAGTAGGCAACGAGGCCGTGGATCAGCTGGTGAGGGCGTGGTTCTCTTTCCAGCCTCGGATTTAGGTGGAAAGGTGCATTTTACACTTACATGCCATTTCTCCTTTCCAGGTCAAGTTCAACAGAGCCTTGGCTGACCATTCTATGGCTCAAACCCCTCGGCTCATTGATGGCATTGTCCTTACCAAATTTGACACCATTGATGACAAGGTAAGTATGAATGACACAGGACATAGGGGGACTGGGAGGGCAGGGGTTGGCGATCTTTCACAAGGTAGCTGAGGCTGCATTAGCTCAAAGCTTCCTGTTACTCGGGGTACATAGAAGGGCCCTTGAGTTGACTGGGTACCCCTTTTTCCTCTTCAGGTGGGAGCTGCTATTTCTATGACCTACATCACAAGCAAACCCATCGTGTTTGTGGGCACTGGCCAGACCTACTGTGACTTACGCAGTCTCAACGCCAAGGCTGTGGTGGCTGCCCTCATGAAGGCTTAACATGCTCTTGCCCAAAACCAAATCACCGCTTCCCCCAAAGTCCCCGTTCCTGGATCAAGAATGTGCATTAGAGTGTGAGCAACTTGTCTTCAGTATAGTGCAGAGGCAGAGTGAGGGCAGGTCCTGGCGTGCAGCTCCTCTAGCCCCACTCCCTGTTCAATCTAGCCTCCGTCTACAAGGAGGGCCTAATCATGTTACAGTCACTGCCCATTGCCCATGCCACCCCGCCCACCGCCACTGTGGTTCTACCCTTCCTACCCACCACTCTGCCTATGGTCTCGGTCTCATTACAGCTTTGACCAGTGGTCAGGAGATCCAACACCAGAACTTGGCTAGTTAGTGTCATGGGGACATCTGAGCATCATAAGCAGTTTGAAGCTCCATTAGATTAAGAGACTTCCAGAACCAGCTCTGGGTCTTGAGTGGCACCTCTCCCTAGGCTACACAGCTTTCAGGTCCCTGGGCCTGGGTGACACCCACCAACCACACTGTGGCATTATAGCCTGTCCTTAATTGCTGCTAATTCTGATGATCCCATCCCGTTGTTTCCTCAAAGTGTCGGCTAAGGCCAGAGGGATTTGTTACAATGAGCAAAAGGTGAGTCCCCCTTCCCTCATCCCTCAGAAAAGGGGGCGAGCTGCAGTATTGCATTGGGCTTCTCAGCCTTCCAGCTCTTCCCCAGGCCCAGAACCCAGGTGTAAGCTTTGCATGTTCCCCTTCCTGGGAGGAAACTGCCTGTCAGGAGGTATCACGGTGCCCCTCCCTGTTCTTCACCCCGAGGGACCCTAGCTCCTCCGCCTCCTCTCTACAGTGCCTGGTAGACAAGTGCTACATTAAATACAAACCTCTTGTTGAGACTTGTCCTGTAGCTTGTATTACAGACGTGCTTAGTGCAATAAGGTGAAGGCTGTCTGCCCAGAGAAATGCATAATTTATATATAAGAAAATAAATTTCATAAGTAAATCGCCTTTTAGTCTCGGAGTTACTTTATATAGGATTCAAAACTACAATCCCACGTCACGCTAACTAGTGTTTATGTAAGGGAGGCAGTGGGAATGGATGCTCTGAGAAATCTGGGAAAACGGCTCTCCTGAGAAAGACCCCCTCCCCCAGAAAGGAACAGGTCTTGAAAATTAAATTGAGTGACAAAAATTAGGCTTGTCAGGACCTTTGCAGGTTAATTTTCAAAAGTGACTGAAAGTAGAACCAGGGCCCTGGGAAGTAAATGAACAAGCTTTTAATACAGCTCAGGTATGTAAAATACTGTACACTGTAAGAGATCTAGAAAACTAGAGCTTCAAGTCTTAGAAAAAGCCATTAAGCTTAAGTGAAAAACCAAGTCTAGAGTACAAAATTGCAGCGGCCACGGTGAGTCCACGGCACCACAGTCCGAGTCCATGCAGGGCAGCAGCCTGCGCAGTGGGCGCCACCCCAATCTGTGTAGACACAGGCATGTCCAGCCCAGTGGTGGGTGGGGAGCTGCACTGGGTCCCATTGTCACTTGGGTATTCTCAAACTGGAACAGGCCATATAAGACCAAGAACTGGAAAACAACAAAACAAAAGACCAGTCGGCACGAAGGATGAAGGTGGGAAGTTCGCCACCACTCTACATAGCCCCAGCCTTCAACTTCTGGGTTTTGGTTCTTTTCGGAGTTGTATTGGGTTCTTGTAAGTTTACTGTTAAACCGTCCACGGCAGGGCCTAACAGCTTGGTCTAATGTCGGTGACTTCTGTAGCCCTCATGTACTGAGGTCTGTGGAGAGAAAAGGGAGAGAGTAAACGGGAGGTTCATAAACAGGTTTACACATCTAAAGCTGCAGGTGCTGAAGTCCAGCTTAACCTACTGCAGAAGACAAGACATAAGAGACAGGCATCTTGTAACAGACTTGGTAGAAAAATAATCTTATGTAATACTATATGCAGCAGCAAGTCATTACTCCCCAAAGTCTTAACTAGGTCTTAGGAACATTTTCTGTTGACAAATAGGCAGATAGAAAACAGGAAATAGTATACCTCTTATTTCACTGTGCGCTGCAGATGAACCATTTAGGTGACCTTCTCTCATCACACCTGCTAAACAGAGTGAACATCAATGTCAGCTGTTAGATTAAAAAGCCAAAACAATGGCTAGAAAACCAACCAACCATCCAGAGGGAGATGAAAGCATGTTCTAAAGCAGCGGTTCTCAACCTGTGGGTCACGACCCCTTTGGCGGTCGAATGACCCTTTCACAGGGGTCGCCTAAGACCATCCTGCATATCAGATATTTACATTACGCTTCCTAACAGTAGCAACATTACAGTTATGAAGTAGCAACGAAAATAATTTTATGGTTGGGTCACAACATGAGAAACTGTATTTAAAGGGCCAGAAGGTTGAGAACCACTGTATCTAAAAGATGGCATTATTTAGTAATGAACACATACCTAGTACAGCAGGAGACAAGGAGGCGGGGAGAATAAACTAGGTTAGTCTTCAAATGGTGGTATTAAATAACGGAAACAGTAAAGCTGGAGTGTGCGCACTGACATTGCTTGTAAACAAAACGTTTACATGGGCAAAGTGTTTCTGCCGTCCCTAACTAGTGTAGAAGGCCAAGTTCAGGGGGGGAAAAGTCTGACCAGGGGTGGGGAGCAGCATGCAAATGAGCAAATTCAACCAAGTAGAAGAGTGCAAAGTAGCAGATACTCCCACAGTATAAACTGGGTTAGATCTGCGCTAATATGATGCCATTAGCCACACGTGGCTGAATTTCACATTAAAAATTCTGTTCCTCTGTCACACTAACCACATCTCAAATATTCAACAGCCACATGTGACTTGTGGTTATGGTACAGGACAGCAAAAAGTATAGAATATTTCTAACATTGCAGAAGATCCTATTGGCCAGCACTGGGATAGAAAATGGTGTCGGAAAAAGTATAGAAGTGAACACATGGAAGAATATGGACAATTAGAGTACAAATAAGAGACAGCACTAAAACATACATGCTACTTCCCTCTTAGAAAACACTTGAGCAACATTTATCAATCTCTAAAATGTTCATGCCTTTTGATCTAGTAATTACCCTGAGAACATAATTATCCTAAGGAAATTACTTGCAAAAGGAAAAACTGTATGGCAGTTCTTACAATAAAGAAAAAAATTAGAAGCTGCCTAATAGGAAAATAATTAGGTAAACTAACAGCTACACTGGGTTATAACATAGTCATTAAAGATAGTGGTTATGGCCCTGGCCAGTGTGGCTCTGTTGGTTGGGAATCATCCTGTGCATATACATGATCCCCAGTGGGGGGGTGTACAGGAGGCAGCAATTGATGTTTCTCTATCATCAATGTTTCCCTCTCCCTTTCTCAAATCAACAAAAACCAAATAGTGGTTATGACAATGCATAAATAAGTGGGACAACAAATTGATGTTTCTAAAATAAATTTTTAAAAAATATTAAAATAGTGGTCATGAAAATGTTACATACAGTCCCTGACTATTTTAATTCTAGCTAGCATTTCTCCCATGGCCTTCACACTTACAGTTCCTGCTATGGACATGCTAATTAGCTAGAGGAATTCTGCTTGAGGCTTGAGCTTTTCCAAGAACAGTCCCTTGTCAGAAGGCACCTTTCCAGAAAGAGGTGGGAAATGTGTACAAAATAATGACTGCTTATCAAATTTTTACAGGAGCCTTAAGAGTGGACTCAGCCCGCCCTGGCCGGTTTGGCTCAGTGGATGGAGCGTCGGCCTGCGGACTGAGGGGTCCCAGGTTCGATTCCGGTCAAGGGCATGTACCTTGGTTGCAGGCACATCCCTAATAAGCGGTGTATAGGAGGCAGCCGATCGATGTTTCTCTCTCATCGATGTTTCTAATTCTCTATTCCTCTCCCTTCCTCTCTGTAAAAAATCAATAAAATATATTTTTTTAAAGAAAAGAGTGGACTCAGATGGCAGGAGTGGGGTGGCGGTGGTGGTGGGGTAGGCAGTGTTCAATGGACCAACTAGGAACAAAGAGATACGGAGATTTCATGCTCTTCCTTGGATCCCTGTCCAACTAGCTGTCTAGGCTCCTCAGCTACCTCTTGCCTTGCCCCTCCTCCCTTCCACTGACCTAAAAGATGCCTGAATTCTGGGCTCTCTTAAAATGGATTTGCAGAAGCTATAAGATTATGTCTAACCCTAATCCCCCATCTTCTCAAGCTGGTACCTTCCTGATCAATAAACCGTTCCTTACTCCAAACTCTATGACGTTTTTGATTATTGGCCTTTGAAGCATCAGGCACACAAACCTTAAACCTGTACCCTCGTAGGAATTTCTATGATATACCACTGAATAAAAAGTACCAAGACTGTCTGTATACCTTTTTTACAACTATGAAAAATTGTTAATTGGAAATATACCCAAATAACTGCTTGTATGATGGTAATGAATTATGAAAGCATTATTTTCCTTTTCCTCCTTACTTGATTTTTCTGAAATAATGTACGAGATCTTACACTGTTTTGAACCCAAGTAATTTTCACTATGTAAAAGTGAGTACACAGCACAATGCCAGGTATGTAGCAAATGCTCAGTGTGAAACAAACCAACATCAGTACGCATCTATGGAAACTCAAAACATAACCAAGGATGACAGCTAAGTTTCACTTGTCTCAAAATGAATAATATTTTTAACCCAAAACTGCTCTGTTGCATTTCAAATCACAAACTAACTTAGCCGACCATTCTAATAAAGCCCCCTCACCATATAGGAAAGCCTTGATTTTTTAAAATTCCAAATACATAACCAGTGCTAACTGGGGAAAGCGACTCTAGTGGTGTTGCTGGTGGAGTGTGGTTTTTGCAGTGTTGTGAGAGAAAGCATTTTCGGGGACCCCCAAGAGAGGATGAGGTCTGGTGGGAAGATTTATTGGGTGAAAATAAAAGAGGCCTGGGTTCCTAATTTCCCATCTCTGTCCCTCCCACCATAGAAAATCAGGGCCACAAGTAGGGCCAATGTCCAGAGATCCTGTGCCACAGCAAAGCTAGTCCACCCAGCCTTTCCCACACCGCCAGCTTGGCTTGTGTTCAGGGCTGCCATTGCTGCTGTGTTGCAGTATCCAGGCTCCCCGTGGAGCCTGTATTTGGAGCTAAGGCCACATGGTTACTATTGAGAGAAAACGCTCCAACAAATGGGGCGAGCTCCGGTCAGTGGGAGGGAGGGAGGGAGAGAGAGAGAGAGAGAAAAAGAGAGAGAGAGAACTCTGTTCCCCTGGGAGTATAGCATCTGGGGCTTGGGAAGGACCAGGTGCTTTTTCAAAATAACTGACCAACTTCCCAGTTCCACAGGCCTCTGATGGGTCCACCCTCTGGCCACTGATCCCTTTCCCAGGCTAGATTGACAGGCCTCTATGGCCAAGCAACTTCCCCTGAACCATTTTGACTTCTGTTGCATATGTACTTATCTCCCCTTGCTCTCCTCACACCCCAAAATCCCTACCGGTACCAGAAGGGTGAAGGGAGGGTGTGAATCCTTGGCGGGGCGATGCTGTGATCCCCTGGATTGGGTGAAACTAACTTTCTGGTGAAACAAACAGGCACATGCTCCCCAGCTGACCATGCTTCACAAGGTCTGATTCCCTTTGCATCCCCTTTGCATCCTCTTTATTAATAACTGGTTAACTACCTATGATAACAGGACTCCTATGCAGCTAATAAAAACTTCTATGCCACTTCAGAGATTTTTATTTAAAAAATTTTAGTGTAATAGGAACAGCTGTCCAGGAGGGGTTTGCTATTTTCAATTTTAGCATCTTCCCTGGGTAGAAGACCTCAGAATGTAGGCCACAATAAATATGTAAAGTTTGGGTATGTATCTCTTGTCTAATGAAAACAGAACGTGTCCAGTAGTAAAAGCTACTGAAAGGCCTCCGCGTGGGTGGACAGCAAACACAGCAGGACAGCAGAAAACACATCCCCAAGAAAGAAGAGCAAGCTGGTTTCCCACGAGAGAAACCGAAAGGTTTGTCTACAGGAGAAGGGCAGACATGGTTTTCTGTGCTCAGTTATGGTGATAAGAGCCTCCCACAAGCTCTTCCCTGGGTAGAAGACCTCAGAATGTAGGCCACAATAAATATTATTTCTCATTACAAAGAATTCCACTCAAAGCAATCTGATTCAGGAGAAAACGCTGGGAATGATGATTTGATTTAGGAAAAGTTCCCTCTATATTAAATTTTCCGTACTTTAACAGGCCCCCTCAGAAGCACTGAGATTGACAATGAAAATCCACATTAACATAAAACTTTTCAAGAACATATTCTACATATAACAGCAAAGTTTGTTTGGAACTGGGTAGTGAGTCAGAGTGGCCATACCCTGGGGCTTGGCTTCATTCAAAGTAAGGTTTTAAAAAGCAAACTTCCATTTAATTGACACCACAAAGTTTTGTATCTTGTAGGGTTATTGGGAACTTGCCTCGAGCCATTAATAAACAACCTTTTATCCCCATTTGGCTTTCTCATTAAAACTGGAGGTAAAATGTCAAGAGAGTGAGTGGTACCCCAATCTCTGACTTTAATACCATGTTAATTTCCAAAGACCATTTTAAGGTGTGCTTGTTTTTTTTTTTTTTTAAGATAATGCATAATCACTGTAGAAAATGCTAACAGAGAAACAAAATATCTTTTAAAAACCCTTAAGTCCAATAGCATAAACATAACCATAACCACAGTTAATTTAGTAACTATCATTGCAGATATTTCTCTATACATACACACAAACAAAAACAGAATCTCTATAATTTTGTATGAATGGGACTGACCATGGTGATTTTTCCTCCCTTCACTCACAATATTATGTCTCTGACATATTTTTGGACAATAAAAACATTTTCCCTTTTATAGCTTCATTGTATTTTATCCATTAAATAAATATTGGAGTATTTACATAATTCCCTATTAAGTGAAACATTTTAAGTTGCTTCCAATTTTTTCATTTATACAAAACTGGTAACATTCCCACAAGTATATCTTTATGCAATTGTCCAATTATCTCTTGAGGTGAAATTTCTGGGTCAAAGGTTTTCAAAATTTTAACATATTCCAACATGAATATATTTCTTTCCTCACAGCTTAGCCAAAATTGAGTTACCATTCTTTTCTATTTTGAAATCTAAATTCTATTTGCACTTCACTGATAACTAATGAGGCTGAGTTCCTTCCTTCTTCCCACTTCTGCAATGGATTTGCCTTTGTGCATTTTTTCTCCTATCCAAATGCCATTTTCATCCAACCTGAAGACCAAACATGCCCTCCCTCCTAATCTGGTTAGGGTGATAGTCCTCATCTTGGTAATGACTTTGCCCATAACCAACACACACACAAGGCTGAAGAGCTGCATCTTACCTGACCTACCCCGCGTGGATATCTCACAGGTCAGCCGCTTGAAGTACTCTGGAAGATCAGCATAGTCATTTCCATAGGAGATGACCTTGATCCCTTTGTCCAGCATGTTTTCTCGAAGCTTCATGAACTCGTCTATATCTCCTTTCCGAACCAGCATGAAATGTTCTAAGTCAGATTTATGCTTGACAGCCTCCAGAAAAAGGGCTTGGAAAGTGGTGTCGTCCACCGTCTGGCCGCAACCCAGGAAAAGAAATGACTTGTTTTCATAGAGTTTCTGAATCTCTCTCTTGCAGGAAAAGAAACAAAGTGACACGGTGAAGACACACACAAGGCGTGTCTGAGACACAAAAGCCACAGGCTCATCATCACTGCTCTTAACAGACTGTGGCCGCCACTGAACCAGGGTTAAGAGGGAGGATAAGCCCCTAAAGCTGATCTTGTTTGTGCCCTGACCGGGAATTGAACCAGTGACCTCTTGGTTCAGGGGTTGATGCTCCACCACTGAGCCACACCAGCCGAGCTATCACTATAACTTGATTATTGGTCTAATATTGATCTGTACCAATATCAGACCTATGTCTACAATATTGTTGTCATAGGTGTTGTCCATAGGTTCTTTATTCAGGGTTTCTCGGGGTTACCACTGGTCTACTGACCTTGCAATTTATTTTTGAGATTTATGTACCCAGAAGCCATAAGACCACGAGTAGATCTTTAATATATCTTACTCTATCCATTTTTTGGACTGTATTTGCCTTTTTTTTTGCCTTACAAAGGGAACCATGGACCACCAGAAAGATAATTTCATCACCAGATTTCCTCAATACTTAGATCAATATATATCTATGTGTGTATGTATCTTTATATACACATATGTAAATATAGAAACATTAGAAATGATTTTGCTTAAGTGATCACGCAATGTCAGCAATGAATGGAGTTCCAACAGATGCCAGGCAAAGAATATGTGGGGGGAAAGGCTCTTATGTTTTAGAAAACATCACATTTTCTTGGTCTTTCTTTTGCTGCATCATGTAGATACGATCACTCTAAGTGACCCAGTCCTATTATACACTGTTTTCAGAATTGGGGGCCAGTGAATCACTCCCACATATCATTGGTGAGGTAGACTTTTTGGTTTGAACATGCATGTGTGAGCAAGTCTAACACTTGCATCTTTAAAGATCAACAAAGATATTTTTTCACAAAGAAGAAAACCTCTACTTTATCACCAAAAGTTTTTCAATTTTTTCCATTGAGCAGTAAGTTTGAAGAGTGTGGTAATTAATACACACTATTTAAACATCATCATTTAAACAAAATTACTTTAGGATGTATATTCTAGTAGTGATTGGTCAATAAAAAGCTACACTAGTTATTACTGGCATAGAGAGGGTTATTAATACTATAATAAACTGAACAATAAAAAGAGATAATAATGTATTCTTCATATGTGAAGGTGATGGCAACCAGCTGTCTGTCCATCAAGAACAAAGGGAGCCTAGCCAGCATGGTTCAGAGGTTGAACATGGACCTATGAACCAGGAGGTCATGTTCCATTCCCAGTTGGGACACATGCCAGGTTGTGGGCTCAATAACCAGTGTGGGGTGTGTAGGAGGCAGCTGTTCAATGATTCTCTCTCATCATTGATTTTCTCTCTCTCCCCCTTCCTCTCTGAAATCAACAAAAATAAAAACATAAAATGGAAAAAAAAAGAACAAAGGGAAAGCCTGTAGCTCGATACCTCGAGTACATTTTTCAAGATGGCACACACACCCACAAGCTGAGGAGCACGGTAAAGGATGTTTGACCTTCCAACTTTGAATGAATGAAAAGAACATGTTAGCCCTTGAAGACCAATGGTACGCTTAGAGGTCTCCAGGAAGGCTTTCCGAAGACCAGAGAGATCAGCAGCACTCACCATAACTTCAGTGTTCCTGAGCACGTTCTGGTACCCAGCGGGATGAAGGACAATGCCACTAGGGTTGGTGTAGACCCCATGGATGTGGAGCACGCTCAGCTTCCGCTTCTCCTGAGCCCACTCTAGGACCTGCACAACACAAAGAAAGCTCAACCAGGCGGGCGGGCTGAACACTCGCTTCAAGGTCACAACAGGCAAGACGACTAGGCTTCTGACTTTCTTTTGTTAATTTTTAAATTGATTTTTAGAGAGTGAGGAAGGGAGGGTGAAAGAGAGAGCGAGAGAAGAAGCATCAATTTGTTGTGCCACTTATTTATGCAGTCATTGGTTGATTCTTGTGTCGGGGATGACGCTCTAACCAAATGAGCTAACTGGCCAGGGCTGGGGTGTGTCCATTATTAAATAGGACGGTCAGAGAAGACCTCTCAGAGGAGGTGCTATTTGAGACTTAATAGGTGAAGAAGGAACTGGCCACACAGAGTCTCAGAGTAGCAGGTGGAAACACTCCAGCCAGAGGAAATGAGTCTTCATGGCACCATGTCCCTAAGTGATTTCCTTTTAAAACCTGGCTTTGAGGTCAGCAAAGTTACAGAGTGGCACCACAGCTGCTCCTCTGGCAGAGGCAGTACTGAGGCAATGAAGCCAGTGGGTGAATCTCTCATTTATTCAAACTACTTAGCAGGGTTCTAGGCTGGACACAGAGGCAGGCTCCTGGGAAAACAAAACTACAGAGCAGGACAAATGAGACCAGGTGGCTGTTTGCAACCTGTTTTGTTTTATTTTTTTCTCACTTATTATGTCTCTGACATCTTTATGGCAATGAAAACATTTTGCCTTTTATGGCTTCATTGAATTTCACCAATTAAATACATGTTGGTACAACTATAGAATGTCCTATTGATGCTAGATTTCAAATTACAAACTCAGGTGACCATTCTAATAGCCTCATCTCGTTAGCTGGCACAGATCAACATCTATAATTGACTATTATTAAGTAGATAGCTTAGTTATAGTATGGGCTACAATAAAAAAGTCCGCTGAGGTTTCCACTGAACATTAACCTCAACCCAGCATTCACTTGGCCTGGAAGATGGTCTGCCAGATGTCCGAAAGTAGTTTTCATTCATTTTCAGATGGAGTTGGCACACACAATATATTCTAAGAGAGAATTCTTTTTTTGTGAATCCTCACCTGAGAATATTTTTCCCATTGTTTTTCAGAGTGAATAGAAGGGAGGGAGGGAGGGCAGAGAGGGGAAAGGAAGAGGGAGGAAGGGGGGGGGGGGAGAGAGAGAGAGAAGGAAACATCAATGTGAGAAAGACACATCGACTGGTTGCCCCCCACATGTGTCCCAACAGGGAGTGGGGAGCGAATCCACAACTGAGGTACATGCCCTCTACTGGGAATCGAACCCGGGATGCTTTGTATGCAGGCCACTTAGCAACACCGGCTAGGACAAAGAGAGAATTCTAAATAAATATTACAACCACCTGACATTATCAGATATTAAAGAGATCTTATAATTCAAATGACTTCCTATGTTCTAGCTTTAAAATTGGGTGAAATTGTCAAAACTCACAGAACTGAGCACTTTTAAGGTCTGTGCATTTTATGTATATTGATTTTTATCTCAAAAAAAAAATCTCCGGCCCTGACCGGTTTGGCTCAGTGGATAGAGCGTCGGCCTGCAGACTGAAGGGTCCCAGGTTCGATTCCGGTCAAGGGCATATACCTTGGTTGCGGGCACATCCCCAGTAGGGAGTGTGCGGGAGGCAATTGAATTGATGTTTCTCTCTCATCAATGTTTCTAACTCTCTATCCCTCTCCCTTCCTCTCTGTAAAAAATCAATAAAATATATTTAAAAAAAAAATCTTCGCAGGAAGGAGCAGCTTCCTTTCTACACAAATACCAGCACTACCCAACCTCCCAACGAAAACAGATTCTCTCCACTAGCCTGAAGCAGGCTCATGCTTTACTTTTTACCTTTTTTTCATCAGTGAGGTCAAGGGATTCAAGCTGTTTGCCCTGGTCTGCTGCGTACAGTTCCAGGAGGTTGTCGAAATTTGTAGTCAATACCAGGGCTCCATTCTCCATCAGGTGGAGAACTGACTGAAGTAGCTGTTTTCCAGAGTCTTCAATCTTTGACTCCAAGTCATCGAATACTTCATATAAACAGTCCTTAAAAAACGTGGATCGAACATTACTAGTACGCTGGAGAGGGATTTGAAAGAGAAAAAAATTAATGCTAGGTGTTTTCTTAGGTCACTTGCCTTAATAACAATAATAGCAATTTTTAAAAATATACTTTGTACCTAAAATAAGGGTAACATATTGTCTACCTCCCAGGGCTTTAAGGAAAACAGGAGGATGCACGCCAAGTGCTTAGCACAGTGGTTCCCAACCTCTTTTTGGCCATGCCCCACCTAAGCACCTCTAAAATCCTGGTGCCCCCCCCACCCCCCGCGACATATAATTCTTCTTATTCAAAAAGTAAACTCCTATTCACGTAGAGGAAGTCTAAAAGGCCATTAACTTGGTCTAAATAACTTCCAAAGAACATAGCATCCTTGAAAGAAAAAACAACAAAAGAATGAAAGGACAGTTGAAGTACTGAGGAAGAAATCACTAAGAAATTGTTAAAAAAATAATATGAAGTGATATGAAAAAACAGCAAATGAAGTTTTAAAACATATAATAGAGAACTGAAATGCATAAATGTCACTATATATTTATGTACTGTATATGAGTCCCCTAGAACCATTAGTAATGCAAAAAATTCACTGTTAATAACTCATTCTCAAATTGCCCCCCTTAAAAATCAAATTACCCGCCGGTGGGGCGCGTGCCCCACGTCTGGAACCACTGGCTTAGACGATGCCTGGCGAGTAGCAAGGGATCAGCACTATCACATCACATGCAAACATCACAGCTCTGTGAATGGCACTCTGACAGAATGGAGAATATGGACATGGCCAGGAGATGTTACTGCCAGGATAAAGGAATGCTGGGGGCAAAGCACGGTGCCAACTACCCTCCAATCTGGCCTCAGGCAAGGAGACAATGAGTGCTTTCGTAAACTTTAACGAGGGAATAACTAATAAAAGACATCTAATGTGGGTTAGCATCTCTTTTTCTAATCCTAGGTGCTTTTTACAGATGCACTGGATTTGGATGCTAATGCTATGGGAAAACTGCTTGCCTTCTCCCTGCCTGTTTTTTTCCCTTGCATAGTTCAGCAATTCGTTTACATGTTTATTAGGAAGAATACTTAGTATTTAATAAAGGCTATCAATTTGCAACTGTTAAAAATACTAAACATTAGTCAGTTCTAAACAGACTCCCTATCTTTTAACATACGGTTTATTTACATAACTGTTTTCCCAGATTTATTTTAATTATGCAAATATCTCGGAGAACTAATAAGGAAAGACAATACTAATCGCAAGTGGAAAGTGGCCCGTGGGACAAAAGAAATTTGAAAGGGAAAGTAACCATAATATGCTGTGACATGTATCTGATCCCTATCCCATTCCTGCTATACTATTCCAGCAGATAATGTCAGAGCAAGAATTCGTTTTTAAAGGCCCCAATATTTCCCATTTAACCTCTATGTAACTGCACTTAGCTGCTAGGTCATAGAGAACAGCTGCTGTTTTCCCTCAAAAAAGCCCCCACCTTTCTGGTTTCCTTTGTACATCTTTCTAAGAGCGCAATGCTCAGATGAAGATCTGTTCCCATGGAACCAGGGACGCAGATTCATGGAACACACTTAATTTGCCAAATTCTTGCCCTAATTTTTCAAAGTATTTTATAAGATTATCAATTATGTATGCCTACCAAATATTTTCACAGTAGAAAAATTCGAGCGAAGGTGGAAGAGTCCCTCTCCCTAGTGGTGACCCGCTCAGAGGTTTGTCTGCTTTTGTCAGTCAGTCCCTAGTCCAGGCTACCTCTATGACTAGACAGGCTCTTCGCTGCACCTGTTGTGGGGAGAGTGGGGCTCCAAGGTTCTTTTCTGGTGCTAAATAGGTGGGATGGCCCATATTTGTGTGGCTAAGAATGCATTTTTTTTTGTCCATTCTCATTGCGTAAGGGCATAAATAATTCCATCACATGTTGTAGCAACCCACAGGCAGCCCACAGGGGATTCTAACACTTAAAAAGAATGAACAATCTGCTCAGAAACACGGTGAAGAATTTATAACCTCAGTTACTGAATTTCACTGCATACAAGAGTCCACCACTAACGAACGCCAGGCACTTTTCTAGATTGGTTATGAAAAATGCAGTGCCCCTTTGACATCTATCAAAATACAATTATTTATCCTACGATCTTAAACTTCCATTTCTGGGAATATGTCCCACAGATATAACTGCAAACAAATGATATACACAAGGTTATTAGTTCTCTGTCTGTAACAGTGGAGGACTGGAAACAAGCCCGGTATACACATACAGGAGACGGGCCTGAAAAGACCTCCAGGATATGCTGCTAGGTAAACAAAGGGGGTGCGGAACAGTGTGTCTAGATCAGGGGTCCTCAAACTTTTTAAACAGGGGGCCAGTTCACTGTCCCTCAGACCGTTGGAGGGCCGGACTATAGTTTAAAAAAAAACTATGAACAAATTCCTCTGCACACTGCACTTATCTTATTTTGAAGTAAAAAAACAAAACGGGAACAAATACAGTATTTGTATTTGCATGTGCCCGCGGGCCGTAGTTTGAGGACCCCTGGTCTAGATGCTACCTGTTGACATGGGGGATGAAGGTAGTGAGATAAGAATATAGTCCTGTGTGCAAAAAGGAACATTGGGAGGATGCTCACAAAGCTAGGAAGAGCCCAGCCGGCATGGCTCAGTGGTTGAGTGTCAACCTAAGAACCAGGAAATCACAGTTCGATTCCTGGTTAGGGCACATGCCCAGGTTGCGGGCTCGATCCCCAGTGTGGGGTGTGCAGGAGATAGCTGATCAGTGATTCTCTCTCAACATTGATGTTTCTACCTCTCTCTCCCTTCCTCTCTAAAAATAAATAAAAATATATTAAAAAAAAAAAAGCTAGGAAGAGTGGTAACCCATGGTGGGGAGAAGAGGCAGACAAAGGCACGAGTGGGAGTGAGATGCTGGGATGTACATAACCCTTTTACATCACTTTCATTTACTTCTGCAATGTGTGTTAACAGCACCTCTTCAGAAAAGCAAAATTAAGTTTAAAATTAAGTGAAGAATATGGTTATTTTAAGAACTTCCCTGTGTTTTATAACTTCATTTTGTACTGATTCATGCACACAGTTATATAACACTACCTTCAAATACCAGTTTAATCATTACGCACACAGATAAAAATGCCTGGGTATACAATCAGCTAATCAGGGGTGAGGAATATATTTTCTTGCTTCTAAGAAAAGAAATACAAAAAATGTTAAAGCCTGGAAATAAATGTCAGGAGTCACTTATGTTAGCTAGGTATCTTTTAGCCCTATTTCTTATAAAAAAAACACTAAAAAATAAGGATTTCAGAGAGGAAGGGAGAGGGAGAGAGATAGAAACCTCAATGATGAGAGAAAGCATTGATCAGCTGCCTCCTGCACACCCCTTACTGGAGATCGAGCCTGCAACCCGGGCATGTGCCCTGACCGGGAATCAGACCATGACATCTGGTTCATAGGTCGATGCTCAACCACTGAGCCACACTGGCAGGGCTAGCCCATTTCTTTCAGTTAGTACAGTGGATCTCAACCTTCCTAATGCCACGACCCTTTAATACAGTTCCTCATGTTGTGGTGACCCCCAATTTCATTGTTACAAATTGAACATCATTAAAGCATAGTGATTAATCACAAAAACAATATGTAATTATATATGTGTTTTCCGATGTTTTTAGGTCGACCCCCAAAGGGGTCGTGACCACAGATTGAGAACCGCTGAGTTAGTACATTTTGTGGATCAACATAGAGAGGAAGGAAAGGGGCTTTCCTTGCTGCACTGATTTCTTCAGACTTAAATATGAAGCAGGTGACTCTGGAACTAAATTTCCCACCAGTGCCTCTGAATCAGGACAAAGGAATGCAAACAAAAGGAAGTTCCATGGTCAGAAGGAAATGCCGAACTCCCACACAACTTCCAGGGACATTTTTTCATTCATTTCAAACTGTGAACTGATCCCAAGGCTACTTCGTTTCCTTCCACCCTGCAACTCTCATCTTTCCGATCCCAGAGAGAGTGAACACAGACACAATCCTGACTCTTTCCCTGAGGTGCCTGCCTGTGCAGTGCCTACTATGTGCCAGACACTTTCTATTATCTCACTACTCTTCAGAGAACCGAGCTAAGGAGCATTATCCCAGTTTTATAGGTGCAGAGATCAGAGGCGTTAAGTGATTTGCCCAGGGTCTCTGTGCCTTTAAATGGCTTTTCTTGGGTTCTGATTCTGAATGCTCTCTGCACTGAAGACAATGTCACTTCCTTCCCTGCTGTGTAAAAAACTGGCTCAGTAGACGGGGGCCTTTTACTTTAACGCTCAACCAGGGCCACACCGGTCAGGCATATTCTTCTTTAATATGGACATTTTCAAACATACACAATAGCAAAAAGAAGAGCATTAAAAAACCCCCATGTACCCATCACCCAGTTTGAACAATGATCACACAAAGCTGATCTTGTTTAACCTAAACTCCCCACCCACCACACCGCTTCTCCGCTTCACTGAGTTTTTTGAAGTGATTCCTAGACATCATATCATTTCATTCAGATACTTCAGTAGGTTCCCTAAAATATAAGGACTGCCCTTTGCATATAAAACAGAAAACTGCAACACCCCTATCATACCTAAAAAAAAAAAAATTACTATTAATTCCTTATGTGGACAAAAAGGGGCCACATCCTAAATCTGACAAGCTCAGGGAGGCTCATGATGGGCATTACAAACTCAGAGACTGAAAGTAACCATAGAGGATAGTCTGAACATAAAGATTCCTAATTGAAAGCAAGTCATGGTGGGTAGTCATTCCTGTAGCTTCCTTGACAAAAGTCAATCTTTACTGCCTTCAGCGAGCCTGTCTATTGTCTTTTTGGAAGGTCAAAGAAACCCCCCTTTTATACCCCTTAGGGCACAAGCTCCCAGCAGAGTATGAGACCACAGACCCCTCATTGTTATCTTGTTGCCCCCATACCATCTCTGTGTGCTGTACATGTTAACTATCCTGTACCCATCAAAGTAAAAGAAGTGTGTCTGTTTTATTTTTTATCCAATCACAGAGATTTCCCTGCTTTGCTTTCTCCTGCCTCCCTAATCTACCATCAATGGATTTTACGTAACCCACCCTTCCGTGTCATCCTTTGATTCCAACATATAAAATAAGCTATAAAACTATCATTCTCCAAAGCATTTTCTCAATCCGTTGAGATTGTGTTTCCCGGTAACTGTCATCAGTTTGGCTCAAATAAACTCTTGTAAGACTTATTCTTAGGCTGGATGTTCTTTCATCGACACTTAATACCAAATACTCAGCTAGTGTTCAAATTTCCCCAGTGCTCCCCCGTTTCTTACAAGCCTTTGGTTGCCTGGATTTTTTTCTTACATATCTTCTGTTGGAATGTTTCTCAAAACAAAGCCCTCAGACCTTTTGAATTCCTGAGATTCTTAAGGAGTATGCAATGTCAAGAATATTTTCATAGTAATATTAAGGTGATATTTTGTCTAAACTGTTTGTATTTGCACTGATGATGCAAAGGCAATGGTGGCTAATGAGAAGGGAAATGGGGCTGTGCAATAACCCTGACAAGCTCAGGGGGGCTACATGGCAGGCTTGACAAGCTCAATGATCAAAAGTAACACACACAGCCCAGCCGGTGTGGCACAGCAGTTGAGCATCGACCCATGAACCAAGAGGTCCCCAGTTCGATTCCCGGTCAGGGCTTGATCCCCAGTAAGAGGTGTGCAGGAGGCAGCTGATCGATGATTCTCTCTCAATGATGTTTCTATCTCTTACTCCCTCTCTCCCTCCCTCTCTCTAAAATGAATAAAAACCTTTTTTTTTAAAAAACACACATATACAATGATCTACCAGATCCATCCAACTCACAAAGCGTTAAACCTGTTTTCTTCTATGAGTTTTATCTCTTATATTTAAGTCTTTAATCCATGTTAAGATAATTTTTTATATATGGTATAAGGTGAAGGTCCCGTGAGCTATTTATTTATTTATTTATAATATATATTTATTGATTTCAGAGAAGAAGGGAGAGGGAAAGAGAGAAAGAAACATCAATGATAAGAGAGAATCATTGATTGGCAGCCTCCTGCACGTCCCCTCAGGGATCAAGCCTATAACCCGGGCATGTGCCCTTGACTGGAATCGAACCCAGAACCCCTCAGTCCCCAGGCCGACGCTCTATCCACTGAGCCAAACCAGCTAGGGTCCCTGAGCTCTTTAAATCCTGTTAATTCTTTACATTGTTCTACATTAGTAATTAATCACAATTAAAGACTAGGAAATGAAAAAGAAGAAGTGAAAAAGGCTCTAAGTTTCTGAAAGTGGGGGGGAGGTGGAGGAGACGGGGAACTGAGAGAAGGAGAGAGACAGGGAGACAGGAGCAGACGCAGAACGGCACACAGAGAGCTCACAGAGGGGATGCAGGCAGAGACCTACATTGGAGAGAGACGAGGAGGAGAGGGGGGCAGAGATTGAGAAGTGCAGAGGAAGAATCAGAAAAAGAAGCAAAGAGCCTGGCCAGTGTGGCTCAGTGGCTGAACATCAACCTATGAATCAGGAGGTCACGGTTCGATTCCTGGTCAGGGCACATGCCCGGGTTGTGGGCTCTGTGCCCAGTGTGGGGCATGCAGGAGGCAGCGATCAATGATTCTCTCTTATCACTGATGTTTCTACCTCTCTCTCCCTTCTTCTCTGAAATCAATAAAAATATATTTTTTAAAAACTTGTGTTGCTCCCTGCATAAAAAGATAAAAATTATCTCTAATCTTTGAGCTTCCCTAAAAGGCATGGATGCCAGTGAACACAGCTTTTATAGCAGTGAGTACAGAAAAATTCAAAATACAGCAACAATGGAACAGTTGTCTCATTTTTGTACACATAAAGGCCTCATCGTCGTCATCATCATCATCATCATCATCATCAGCAACAGCAAACACACACACTGAAATGGGGTCAAGAGATAAGTACCCTGAATAAGGTCCATAAACAGACATTCTGTAGGAGTCGCAACTGCTATGCGAATCTACAAGCTAGAAATGAACATCCTGATTACACTCAGCATGAGTGGGGAGGGTGGGAGGGCGGTGTTAGGAAATTTCAAATGGCCGGTTACTCACAGGGGAGAGTTTCTGAATAAGGTCATGGGCAACATGAACAAGATTCTTATCTTCGTGGAGACATTTCTGAAATTTTTTGCTCTCCTCATCTTCTAGAAGATCAAAATCATTGGCAGCATCCAGTAGAGCCTGGATTAACCCCTTCCAGGATTTCAGAGCTGGAACCTGAGGTGCGACCGCAGCACTAATGCCCGTTCCAATCACCAGCACAAGTTCCCGAGGCTTCTTACTTTTTAAGCTTGGAAGCAGTTTCCTAAAAAAAGTTCAACAAAGGAGAGGATGGAGAACATCTGAGAGACATGGGACACATGGAGACGGTCTTAAACCATGGTCTTCAGCTATAACTTTGACAGCTGCAAAGATGACAAGTGCCACTTTCTGACACCTCTCCAAATAGCTTATGCAAAAGACCAGAATATTGTGCCAGTGCTTGCTGGAAAACAAAGTCATAGACCTATTTCAGGAATTCTAAAGAGCAATCTTAAAATCAATATCCTCCTTCATAGTCCTCTCAATCTAAGAAAACCCACTAACAGTAGGAAAAGTTCCGATTATATTAGAGCTCAGCTGAGTTCTAAGTTGTATTTTAAACCAACATGCAATTTCAAGGAACATGTTTGATTTAGATTCCTGAGGGGACAGAACCCCATACAAATTAAACTGCTGTTGTTGAGAAGGAGATGCCCGGCCGGGTGTGGCTCAGTGGTTGAGCACTGATCCAGGAACTGAAAGGTTGCCGGTTCAATTCCCAGTCAGGGCACATGCTCGTGTTTCGGACTCAATCCTTGGTGGGAGGCATGCAGGAGGCAGCCGATCAATGATTCTCTCTCATCATTGATGTTTCCCTTTCTCTCTCTCTCTCTCCCTTCCTCTCTGAAATCAATAAAAATATATTAAAACAAACTAACAGCCCTAGCTGGTTTGGCTCAGTGGACAGAGCATCGGAGTTCGGACTCAAGAGTCCTGGGTTTGATCGGGTCAAGGGCACATGCCTGGGTTGCGGGCTTGATCCCCAGTAGGGGGCATGCAGGAGGCAGCCAATCAATTATTCTCTTTCATCATTGATGTTTCTCTCTCTCTCCCTCTCCCTTCCACTCTGAAATCAATAAAAATATATTTAAAACAAACAAACAAAACCAGGAGATGAAAGGCGGCCAATAAAAAATTTAGGCCCAAATTTTGTGAATGTTATTTATTTATTTTTTTAAATATATTTTATTGATTTTTTACAGAGAGGAAGGGAGAGAGACAGAGAGTTAGAAACATCGATGAGAGAGAAACATCGATCAGCTGCCTCCTGCACATCTCCCACTGGGGATGTGTCCGCAACCCAGGTACATGCCCTTGACCGGAATCGAACCCGGGACCTTTCAGTCCGCAGGCCGACGCTCTATCCACTGAGCCAAACCGGTTTCAGCTTGTGAATGTTATTAAGATAAAACTGAGCATGACTAAAATGGAGCAGGAGCTAGATGGTCAAACATGGGAACCAGTTTGTTCTAGATATCCTCAGGCCAAAAAGAAAGAAAAAGTGGCCAACAGAATTCTGAGAGCACAGGAGGAGCGTCAAGGATCAAAATAAACAAAGAAATAACTATTCAATGGGTAGGACAGAAAGTGAAAGCCATCGCTTTCTCACCAGGATAAGCAGAGACAGGGTTCTGTCCTGAAGTTTCTATGTGATACGAGGTAGGCACAAGTTTTTGCCTTTGTTCTCCGCCCCATTTCATTCTGGAGACTATAATAAAATCTGCTTGAAATACACTTTGCAATTTAATTTTTGCTGATGGCATGTTTTTCCCCCCAAGAAACTGTCCAAATAATAAACTAAACAGAAATAGGATCAGCATTTGGGAATAACCCAAGAAAGAACAATACTTTAAGCTTTGGAAAACCTGGCTTTGGAGAAACAACCTCTAGAATCACCTTCCCTATCCCCAACTCCGGCATTCAGCCCTTCAATGAATAGTCCTAACTTCAAAAGTTGAGTCTACTGGAAAAGATGATAATAGATATTAGAAGCAAATGGTGAAAAATGATTTTCAGTTCAAGGAAAACAATTTCCTACCTAAGACTCTACACTCGGCCAAATCATCAAATAAATGTAAGTGTATATGAAAACATTTTCAAACGTCCAGAAACTTCTCCTCTGCACCCTTACTGAGGAAGTGAATGAGGACATTCTTCAGCAAAATGAAGGAGTACACCAAAGAAAAAGACTTGCGATCCAGGAAACAGGATCCAATATGGAGAGGCGTAGAGGAATTCCCAGGGCGATGGGAGAGGAAAATGGCACAATCAGCAGTGGGGCAGCATGGAGAGCAATTGTCAGAGGGGGCAGTCCAGAAGAAGAATCCAGAAGCAAATAAACTCGTGCAGTAGTGATGTGTCAGTACGCCTAAGTATGCCTAGGAGATTGACTCTTCCGTCACAGAGTTGAAGATAAACTGATGGGTACACAGAAAACAAAGTGAACCAAAGCAAGAGAGAGAGAATCTTTAATAACTTTGAAGGATGGATGGATAAGAAAAGAAATGTAATCATAGCACATTAGTAGGCTCAACTATGAGTACCATTTATACAGTAAATATTAAAAAGTAATTTAACCCCCAGAATTTGATATAAACCATACTGGGAGGCTGTGGGGCATGTGTATGGTGTGTGTGTGTGTGTGTGTGTGTGTGTACTAGTATACAATGTGGGAGAAGATCCGTGAGAGCAAACCTAATCCTCATCTTCCATAAGAAAGAGATAAAACCAAAACACTAAAACATAGCAATACACACAGTATTGAAAAATATGGATGTAAATATTAGAAAAAATAAAGTTGAAAGTGACTGTCTCTGAGGGGGAAGGAGCGAGGCATCATGAAGTACTGACTTATAAAAGTATGTACATTTATGACCTTGATAAAAAATAAAATTAGATCCAAAAAAAGAAATGTAATCCTATATGATAAAAGGCTAATATGAAAATTGTCCCCTTGACCAGGAGTTCAACTGGGAGTTCAACCAGGAGTTTGACCAGGGGGCGGGGCGGGCTGGCCAACCGCCCCTGGCCCCTCTCCCAATCACTCCCCCACCCCCACCCTGAACAGGGACAGGGCTGGCCGGCCAACTGCCTGCGGCCACTCCCTCCCAGCCATCCTGGTTCAATTGAGGCAGGCCAGCCGGACCCCACCTGTGCACGAATTCGTGCACTGGGCCCCTAGTTTTACATAAAGGTTAATATTAATTAGTGGAAACCAGGTATAGAGCAAGTTCGTTATTTTTTGTTAACTACCATTATTAGTAATGACTTTGCTTCTCAGATTCCCTTCCCATTTACCTGGGCTTCTTGGTTGGGGGTACGCCATCACTGAGGAATCCAAAAATGTTATCTGTATCAGAGGACTGGCTCCCTGTAGAAGCCATCGAGTTTCTAAAATAAAACACCATGGACCACAATTAGATCTGGAAAGTGTACCATACAAAATAGCATATACATTAAACAGTTTTAATAAGCTATACACCCGAAGTGTTCTAAAGGCAATCCCTGCTTAACAGAAATTCATTAATTAATGAGCAACCAAAACTTAAAGAATTAAATTCATCTAAAAGAAAGTAACCTTGCCATAACCGGTTTGGCTCAATGGATAGAGTGTCGGCCTGTGGACTCAAGGGTCCCGGGTTCGATTTTGGTCAAGGGCATGTGCCTTGGTTGCGAGCACATAGCCGGTGGGGAGTGTGCAGGAGGCAGCTGATCGATGTTTCTTTCTCATCGATGTTTCTAACTCTCTATCCCTCTCCCTTCCTCTCTGTGAAAAATCAATAAAATATATATTAAAAAAAAAGAAAGTAACCTTGAAATTATGACTTTTGTATTCCATGCTGCCATCTTGCTTTTGTTGTTGAAGGCTCCTTCCACCCTAGCCCGGAAAAACCCCAAGACCAATGTCAACTCATGTCAATTACTGGCCATCATTTTGTGGGGTCTAAGAAATAGCTCTATTTTCCCATGAAACAGGCTTGGGGAAGACTTGGGATAAAACAACCCACAAATAAGTGTGCTTACAGCTCCCAATTATCCATTTCCTAACAGCTGGGGGGGGGGGGGGAGACATCACTGGGTCACGCTGGCTGGTTTGGCTCAGTGGATAGAGAGTCTGCCTGTGAACTGAAGGGTCCCAGGTTTGATTCCGGTTTAGGGCTCCGTTGTGAGGCAAGTGCGGGAGGCAACCAATCTATGTCTCTCTCTTACATTGATGTTTCTCTCTCTCTCTGTCACTCCCCCTCCCTTCCACTCTCTCTAAAAGTCAATGGAAAAAAATATCCTTGGATAAAGATTAACAAAAAAGTAAAAAAAAATAAAAATAAATCACTGGGTTGAGAACGGAGCAATCAGTATTCATTTGCTGATTGTCAGACATTTGCTGGGTAATTGTGTCCTCACAGGCAGAGAGACATGTCTCTCTAGCTAAACACGCCATGACAGATGGGAAAGGCATTAGCGAGCAAAAATATATGACAAATGACCACTTATGTTCAGGTGATGAGATAACTAGCCAAAGTAAAAGAATTAACGTGGATTACAGTGAGAACAAGATAGAGACGTTTTCATTGCTACAAGTTTTAGTAAACTTGCTAAATCTAAGATCATTAATTCTAAAACAGCAATATTTTAAATAGTATGTGTGTACACACAAACACACAATAAGAAGACAATATGTATTGCCAGAGTTTTGGGTGCTTTATTATCTTTCATTGTCAATATTTAGAAAGAATGGAATTACTAGTAATTACTTTATGTTTAATGTCTTATTAGAAAGATTTTACATGAAAACATTTTTAAAAGTTCACTGATTTAATTTTTCTGTTAAGTACAAGGCTCAGTTCCTCACCCCATATTCATCACACATAATGGAATTCTCCTTTGATATCATAAATCATTAGGAAAATAGGAAATACAAAATCACAGAAGTGCGTTAGGATGCAAACTGTCTTAGTCAAATCTTTGATTCTGTTAGTGAGAAAGGTGGGGCTCAGAGAAGACAGTTGAATTACTTAAGTCAATTAATCTTGCCTTAACTTAATAATCATCTGAGATGCTTGTTAAAAGTACATACATGGTCTTAAAAATAGTCTGTTATCCCGGCTGGTGTGGCTCAGTGGTTGAGCATTGACCCATGCACCAAGAGGTCGCTGGTCTGATTCCGGGTCAGGGCACATGCCCAGGTTTCGGGCTCGATCCCTGGTGGGGGGTGTGCAGGAGGCAGCCGATTGATGTTTAATGTTTCTCTCTCATTGATGTTTTTCTATTTCTCTCCAAAATCAATAAAAAAAAAATAAAAAAATAGTCTGTTAATTTTAAAGACCATGTGTGTTCCCAGACTCCAATCCCAAATTACTGAACCAGAATCTCCAGAATCTTTGGGGGGATTCTTTTTACTGATTTTTAGAGAGAGAGGAAGGGAGAGGGAGAGAGAAAGAGAAACATTGCTGTGAGAGCAAACACAGATTGGTTGCCTCCTACACACCCCCTATTGGGGATTAAGCATGAAACCCAGGCATGTGCCCAGACTGGGAATGGACCCAGCAACCTTTCGGTGCACAGGACACCAGACCAAATAAGCCACACCAGCCAGGGCCTTCAGGGGATTCTCATGATAAGGCAAACAGGAAACACCTAAGTGACATCAAATTTTCTGCAATTCAACTTTTGCTAAATGTCGAGCACACACTAAGCACCCCACATTTATGTCATCTTCCCTCCTTTTAAGTGTACACATCATTTATTACACAGCCTCCCAGTCTGCTAACACCAACAGTCAGGAATTGACTGCCATTAAAATATTTCCATCCCTAATCTAAAGTCTATGTTCTAGATTGGAGAAGTAGTGGAAGAAAAGTGATTATTTCTACCGCATACAGGACAACCCATCAGAGAGATTTTTAAAAGTACACAATGAAAAGTGTATGTGCTGATGTTCCTTCCTTAAATATCATTATGTAAACTCATTGTCTGAACAAATTATCAAATAAGGAAGCTCTGACATTCTGGGAAGCAGATTTGTTGAAATAATCCCGTGTAATGCTTAATAGCTGCCACATGACCAGGCACTCACCGCAACCAGAAGCTGAAACAACACCTTCTGGTGACAAGCACTATTTGCTACTACCTCCCAGCACCAATCACCTACTAGAACCCTAGATCCGTCCTACCATTTTCTCCTGGAAAATATGCAAGATCATTTTTGTTGGGTTCTTTTTTTTTTAAATATATTTTTATTGATTTCAGAGAGAAAGGAAGAGGGAGAGAGAGATAGAAACGTCAATGATGAGAGAGAATCATTAATCGGCCACCTCCCACACGCTCTACACTAGGGATCCAGCCCGCAACCTGGGCATATGCCCCAACTGGGAATTGAACCATGGCCTCCTGGTTCACAGGTCGATGCTCAACCACTGAGCCATGCCGGCCGGGCTTTGCTGGATTGTTGGTGGTCAATTCTTGGTATCTACACCTGAATACTAAGCTTTTTCTTTTTACAGAGTCAACTGTTCTGAAGGTCCACTTCACCCACATTAATTTAAAGGAATAAATATGGCTAACAGCTCCTGACAAGCTGTTACTAAAATGTTTTGGATCCTCTGATTTAGGGACTGAATGAGAAGTACTGTAATATGCCCACATTATATCTGATCAGTCATTCTGTTTTCTAACAGGTTATCATCATTCCTTCAGTCTAAAGGGTGTCTCACATGATACAATTTCGCATGTACGCCCCAGTGGCATCTAAGCATGAAGCATATCTTATTCCTTCTAGAGTACTTCTTTAGGGGGGAAAATCTGTTTTAGCATTTTACCCTAAATATGCAGTTACTGCAAAAGAGCTGCAAGCTATTGGGAATTCCTAATATGCATCAACTAGTTCACACATTAATTTCTCTATGTGATCACTATTAGAGTTACCTCTGGCAATGTCTTCATTACTCCAATTACTGCTAAGCACTGAGAAATCCTTCAAGGCCAATAGATTTCAGCAAAATGACAGTCAGATTCTGGGTAAATGCTGAGAAAAGTGACAGCAACCTCACTGACACATTTTTTAAGACCTAAGTTTTCATGTAAGAGAGGACACATACTTTAAAACCTGTCAGATTGGCAGGAAATACAATGTTTGTATCTGGTAGATGGAAAAGGGAAAAATCAAGGCAAGTGTTCTGGGACAAATCCATTAAGAAACGAGAAAAAAGGACAAGAGAAAAGGGACTGGCCTATGAATGAAAGGCCAGTTGTACAAACTAGAGGACTTGGGTATTTGACATATCAAAGGAGGCCAGTAGCTCTTGCTTTTGTGGGATCTTGGTGCCAGCTAAGATGGTAAAACTTGATGCCTTTTTCCATTTAAGAATCAGAGTGAGGTCTCCCAGCCTGAGTTCCTCGTGCTGATCCATGTACCTCTCCCTGTGGCTGATCTATGTACAGCACCTCTCCCGCTGCTTCCAGTATGTAGTCTTCAGCTCAACCAGGAGGCCAGAAGGAACTCAGAAAAATTCACGTTGGCATATGGGTGGATGCAATAAATAGACAGGGAGAAAAAAGTGCTAATAATGGGCATTTTTGCCTGAAAGTAAAAATCAAAAAAAGACTACTTAGCCATGGCCAGTTTGTTCAGTGGTTAGAATGTCAGCCAGTGGACCGAAGAGTTGTGGGTTCAATTCCTGGTCAAGGGCACGCACCTCAGTTACATGTTTCCCAGCCCCGATGGGGATGAATGTGGGAGGCAACCAACTGATGTCTCGCTCTCATTTTGGTGTTTCTCTCTCTTTCTCCCCTTCTTCCATTCTCTCTCTAGAAATCAATGGAAAAAATATCCTCAGGTGAGGATTAAAAACAAACAAATGAACAAAAATGATTAGCTTAAGAAGGCGGTACATTTCTTGTTTTAGAAGCCTCCTTCCCCCACATCTATTTTAACAAATAGAACAGTGACAGGAAAAAGACTGGCCAGTTCTCTAGCCTAAACATAGAAAAGGGTTAACTTCATTTTCTAAGGGGAAAAGACAGTCATCCTCTGACTTGGTAGAAATCAAATGGGGGCATTTGGACTAATTCCAATACATCTGGTTTTTACAGGAAGGGAGGAAGGAAAAGAATAATGTCTATAAAAGAGCATCCAACAAGCGCATGGACAAGTAACACATAAGCTACTTTACTCAGGTAGCTCATCAATTCAGTTCTATCATGTAGACTGCAGCCTTCCTAACCGCGTATAAAACAAACTTCCCATTATTCCAGGCTCAAGGGCTCAGATGTACTTATATTAGTGATTTTAATCATAAAACCAAAGTAACACATCGTGTTTAGGAAAACAAAACTGTTTCAAGAAGAAATAATGGGACACTGAATTAAAATCTGATTTGAATTAGAACTTGGTGACAATTTTACCATGCAAAGAACAAGAACTTCCTTGCCACTGCTTTCCCTCCTGTGAAACTTTTGAGAAGGTATATCCCAAAAACAATGAAACATGTTGCTAAGAAATTAGATTTTTAAAATACTAAAAAAAAGAAACAAAAAGATATATTTTTTATGTATCCAGTAGTATTGTTGCCAGAGGAATTAGTGGGCCAGACTTCTCTATCACTTGTGGGTGTGAGTTGGCTCTTAAAGATATTTTGAGAAAATGAATTTTCTAAGATTCCCATGGGAAAACGAGATGTGGAAAACGGCTTTATTTGCGTGGAGTTACATTCCTCGGGTTGTAAAGTACCATTTCCCTTAAGCCAGTCCTGAAAGAGGGGCAGCTGGGGTTCAAGTAGAGCCAAAAGCAAGGCCAGTGCCCAGAGCTTCCGTTCCATGCTGTAGCGGGTTCAGTTCAGCATTCAGTTCATTAAAGTCCATTAGTCCAATGTGGATCCCACG